TTGGCGGGAGGACCGCCATGCTCCCAAGCAGTGCACTCTCCAGTGCGCCACCGGGCCGGCCCCCTGCTTTTACATTAAACATTTTTCTGGTACTGTGTTAGAAACTAGTTAAACAAGTTTAGACAGTAGCCTCATTTCACAGAGATGTCTTGAAAAATTTCCACTAGGTTGTCTTAACTGGTTAAAATACTAATGAAAGGTATTTTTCATCTAAAAGCCTTGAAAATGTATTTTGTAAAAAAATGAACAAACAAAACCCCAAACATCCTGTTATTAAATCCTCTAGGCTAGGTTGGCAAAGTTTTCTGCAAAGAGCCAGATAGTAAATATTTTAGGCTTTGAGGGCTTCATAAGGTTTCAGTTGCTTCACCACCACATGTGAAAACTATTCTTAGCTCAAGGGCTATATAGAAACAGGTGCAGGTTGTAGTTTGCCAACCTCTTCCTTACAGTATTACAGGAGTTTTGTTATTTTCCATTATTTGATAAACTTTGTTTCTCAGTGAATTCTTAGGAAATAGACTGCTGCCTAATGATTTGTAATGTTCTTTTTATATCAACAGTCCAGAAAATCAGCTTTCGCCAATTGTTTCTCTTCTGTCAAATCTCTTTTGTTTTAAGATGAAGAAATTTTGGTCCAAATTGGTGACTGTAATATATTAGTGACAGAGGCAGGACCAGAACTTGTTTACTAACTCCAAGTTCAATACTATTCCTGTTATACTATGATACCATTATGATGAAAATTTGTGTGACAGAATTTCTAAGACCTAATGTTCTATTTATAATTCTAATACAGCAGAAACAATTTGGACAGCCTCCTAAAGCTGTAAGGGGATTTGTAGAATTCTTAGATAAGAGTTTTATTATCTTCTTACATGGGAATAAGAGTAATGAAATAACCTGAAGACAAGCAGCAGGAAGGGGGAGGGAAAGAAATTAACTTGAACCAGCCGAATTTAATCCTTCCCGACTTTGTTTTAGGTACCTTTAAAACAGGGCAGAAGTCTTATGGATTGGATTCGACTAACCAAAAGTGGAAAGGACCTAACAGGATTAAAAGGCAGGTTAATTGAAGTCACTGAAGAAGAACTTAAAAAACACAACAAAAAAGATGATTGTTGGATATGCATAAGAGGTAGGTGGTACATATTTATTAAGTACTTCAAAAAATTTTGCCTGGGCTTTTCAATTGTAATGATATATAACCCCATAGTCATGTCATTTTGTGATATGATTCACAATTAGATAACAAAAATGTGCCTTATACTGGATAATAAATGATATAATTCTGACTTTGGATAGTATTTCTTTCTTAAATAACCATTGACATTCTGATGCAGAAAACAGTGAACTTCTGAAATGAAAATTTTTTTCTAGCATTCCTGTTCTGCATTCCTTTGAAAGTAAACAAGTGTTTGCTAGGCAATTTAATGCTAAAGTGGTACAGTAAAATTATTTAGTAATACTCAGTTTATATAGAATAACTTTCCACTTAAGAGTCTTATAACAGAATTCTGTTGGAAAAAATCTCTCTGAGAATCTAAAGCAAGCCTGAAAACCCTTCATTAAAGCCAAATCTTCAGTTCTCACTTGCAGCAATTTTGGTTACTTAATGTATGTTTCTTAGCAATATTAGTTGCCTAATTTTTCTGACTCATAGCACATTAGAAGATCCAGATTAAGAATGGGACTATTGGAAGAAGAGAGGAGAGGGACAAGAGGGTAGCTGATAAAAGCAGACCTCACGGTAGCCAATAACCTGGCATCTAGGAGGGGAGCAAAAACAATGAAAGGCACTGAACTGTGCAGTAAGCCTCCATAGTGATGTTCTTGAGTCATCCAGACATGGTTTAATATGTCTGGGAAAGGGAAGTGGGTCATTTTTGCTCTTAACACAATTGTAACAATTTTTATTGTTAAATTTAATCATTGTATAATTTTGGTTTATTGTCAGTTATCCTGATTACACTGTAACCTGTATGAGGGCAGGGACCATGACAGTCTTACTTTCTGTCTTTGGTGCTTGGCACATAGAGGCCATTAATATGTGTTTGTTGAATTAATGCAACACTTATTTTTAAGAAGTTTGATTATACTTAAAGAGGCATGTGGTTGTCACAGTGGATTGGTGATATGATGAGTGGAAAGACACCAGTAGATACTGTATTAGTTTCCTACGAATACCATAACAGTACCATTTAAATTAACAATGTAAATTTATTGTCTCACAGTTCTGGAAGGTAGATGTCTGAGATCAAGGTGTCAGCAGGTTTGGTTCCATCTGAGGACTGTTAGGAAGAATCTGTTCATGCTTCTTGCCTATCTTCTGGTGGTTGGCTGGCAATCTCTGGAGTTCTGTTGCTTGTAGAACATTACGCCAATCTCTTCCTTCATGTTCACATGGGATTCTCCCGTTTTGCTCATCTGTGTCCAAATTTGCCATTTTAATATGGCACTAGTCATATTGGATTAGGAGGCCTACCCTACTCCAGTATGACCTCATCTATTTTTATATCTGCAACAACCCTATATCCAACTAAGGCCACATTCTGAGCTACTGGTAGTTAGGACTTCAACCTGTGAATTTTGGGGGGACATAATTCAACCCATAACAGACACAATTAGAGTGTGAAATTTTCAATGGCAAAGGGAATGGAAACTTCCAGCAGGTGATGATGTAGCTTGCCCTGAGACAGAACAGCTGCTCAACTCCCCGTAGTTCCTCAGAGACATACAAATGTGGATAGTACCAGCAACCTGGAATCAGGATTCTGCCAGGCGCAAAAAGGGGATAAGAACTTGAATTGCTGTGTCTGAAAAGTAATACACTGCTCCTAGTTACATATCTCCTGTAATGATTTGAATGTAAAGCACATTTTCTGGTAAGGTTGGTGACTTAATCATACGTTTTTTAAAAGTTTCTGTTGAGGAAGTTTTCTGTGATATTTCTTATCAATAATAAGACTTTTTCCCTTTTCCAAAAGTAAGATGTGTCTTTTTTTTTCTTTTTGACAGAGTTTGTTTTTTAATTAGGAAATGCTAACTCAAAATAGACCTTGCCCTTGGAATGAGGATAAATGACTATTAGACAACAGACTGCGTGAAGTGCAGTAAGAGGGTACAAAGAAAGTGATTTCAGATTGAAGGGAGAAGAGGTTAGGAAAATCAGAGATGCTTTTGTGGTGGAGATAAGCCTTGAAGCAGTGGGCAGGATTTCAACAAGGAAATGAGGAAGTTCATCCATGCAGAGGGAGAGTCCTAAACAAAGGTACAGACACAGAGAAGCTTGAGATGTTCTGGAGCTTAGGTGAACTGTTGGAGAATTATAAAAAAGAAGGCTGGGAATGTGTGTTAGGTTGGATTGTGGACAACCTTGAAAACCAGACTGAGAAAAGTGTTCTTTATTTAGATGGCAGTATGAGTTATTGAAGGGATTTGAATGTGGGCAGTGTGATCAGAGTATGCCTTGGAGAGAGTAATCTGATGGTGGGTATAGGGAAGTGAAATGGGACAAGGAAAACATTTAGCTCATTGTGGAAGTTCAGGTGGTAATAGGAGGTGAACCAGGATGTTGAAAAAGGCAATGGAAAGTAGGCCAAATGTGAGACAGAGATTACTGGTAACTTCTAACACGATCCCATATGAAAGTAAAAGAACATACGTGACAAAATGTAATTGTCTTTTTTCTTCATAGCTGTTCTAATATAAAATATTACTGATAACTTCTTAATGGGGGAATATATGCTAATTTTAGCCTCAAATGCCAGAGATAATGTCTGGACCCAAGTTTTAGTCAAAACTGTACTACAAGGAACTTGTTATCATAGTGCCACTTTTTCCCTTTTTTTTAAGCATTAAATTCTTCATTTTCTAACAATTGCTCCATTTTTTAGATCAGGTCTGAATTCAGCTGATCAGGGTGAGGGAGACATAATCTCTTCAAGAAATCCTAGAAAATAAACAATTTTGTGTGGGTTTTTGGTGTGGTTTTTATAATATTTTGGGGGCTATTTTCTCTTTTGAGTATGTAGCAGCATTTCTGCTTAATGTTCAGGTGTGTGGAACCTGGTCAGGTTCTTAAAAATGATGGTATAAAAAGAACTCTTGGCTGGCAGCAGAGTGTAAACGTATACACTGTAAAATGTGGGCATTGGCTTGGAATGATCTGTAAGACAGGTATTTGGAGTTCCTTATTTGTTCATTTACTTTTCACCATTTTCTGTAAAGTATGTAATTACTATAATGCAGCAGTAGTTAATTGGAACATTGAAGGAATGAGTTGGGGGGAGGTTGGGATATTGCTTTCTCAAAAACCTTTTTGAATTTACCATTGATTCATGCTTTTGTAGTTTTTTTTCCTTGTTGCTGTTTCTTCCTTTCTCGAGAACTAAAGGTGATTTACCAACATGTGAAGCTTTGAGCAAACATTTAAATCACTCATCTGTGAGAGCTGTGTAGAGCCTAGACAGACTGTTTTTACTGTAGTATTATATATGTTACTATACTAAGTAGTCAGTGTTAGTATTAAGTATTAAGATGTATTCATACATGAAATACAAATGTGTTGAGTTGTGAAATCATCATTTGGCAGCATGGTACAGACTTCGATCTTAGTGAGGGTGAGGGAAGGGTAGCCTGATACTCAATACCAGCCAAATGAATAAATGATATTTCAAAATTGATTACAGTCAGGGGACTGAGGATCTGTTGTTTAAAAATTTAGCAGAGTAGGTCCTCCAAATGGGATTTAGTGGATTTCATTTATAATTTAGAAATGAACATACTTTGATTTCTCCTAATGCTGATTGTCATATACTAGTAAATTGAAGAGGCCTGCTTGAGGCCACTGAAAAAGTGGCTTTCAAGGTTCATATTTTCATGTTTTATAACTATTTTAAAAAGCTTGGCAAATTGATTCTGAGAAGTAGTATGTTAGTCCTTTTATATTTCTATGACAGATTTTTAGATTTCTAAGCTCATTTACAGTAAATCTTTTAAGATTTGCTCATAGGATGGTAGTGTAAATTTTTGTGAATATAATTAATCCTCATTATTCATGGATTCTATATTTTCAAATTTGCCTACTCACTAAAGTTTATTTGTAACCTCAAAGTCACTAGGGTGCTTTCACAGTCATTTGCAGACATGCACAGAGCAGTGAAAAATCCGTGTCTTCCAACATGCACGTTCCTAGCTCAGGTTAAACAAAGTGATGCTCTGCCTTCTGGTTTCAGCTGTCATACTGTAAACAAGTGTCTTTTTCGAAGTCTGTGTAGTGCCATGTTTTTCACATTTTTGTGTTTTTTGTTGGTGATGTCATTGTTTAAAATAGCCCCCAAGAATAGTGCTGCAATGCAGTTGCTAGAAAGCTGTGGTTTGCCTTATGGGGAAAGTATGCGTTCATTCAGGCATGAGTTATAATGTGTTGGCTATGAGTTCAGTGTTCATGAATCATCAATATGAGGGTAATTCAAAAAGTTTGTGGAAAAATCAAATTAAAAAACAATACAAATCTTTCTGTGAACTTTTTGAAGGCCCCCTCATCTAGATTAAATAAGTTGTCTTTAAACAGAAATACACATTAAACAAGGTTATGTATAGATTGCTTGACAAAAGCGTTGTGACCAGAGGCTCACAGGAACCTAACCTTGTATTTTCCCCATGAAGCAGTGGTTCAGTATTTGCTAATTCAGTGTTTGTAGTGACTTTATAAAATATAACTGCCACAAACAATGAGAATCGACTGTATTGCTTTAAACTATCTTTTATTTATAGTGAAGTAATAATAAAGTAAAGTAAGTTTTATACTTTTTAGGTTAGATTCAAACCCACCAAAAATATAGCTAATTTTTCCTACAGTAGGTTCTTTTCTTTAGGTTTCTTTAGCTCCCTGCTTTGATTATATTTTGAGAAACTGCAGTATTATGTCTTGAGCACAGAAACCTTTTCTATCTGAAAGTTTTCTTCTAGGAGTAGTTTTTCAAATTTGGAACTATGTTTTAATTTTTTTTTTTTTTTTTTTGTCTTTTGTCTTTTTTCCGTGTCCGGCAACGGATCGCAACCCTCAGTGTTGCCCCCGTACCGGACCGGGGACCGGCAACGGGATCGCAAGCCTCGGTGTTGCTCCCGTGCCTC